GAGCTTTACGGGGATATTCAATGTATTACGATAGCAAAACGCCCTCACAGGATACAGCTGTCCGAACACAGACAAAAAAAATCAGGTCTGCCTACATTTTACCATGCAGGCTTCACTTTACTGTAACTCCTCAACCATTTGGGCTAGAGAGGAAAAAAGGGGCAAAAGCAATCACTCATAGTATGATTTCTGACTCTTTCACAGCGAAGAAAAGTCCAGGCAACCTGCTGCAAATAGTAGTTTTTTAAGTATATTTACAATTAATTTAAGCTAATCAGGCGATCAAGTTTGGTGATTGGTTGAAAAGTAGGTGTACTACGACTACTATGAAATACTAGCTTCATTCCACAATCTGCCAGAACGCTGAACTGCTGATCCAGATATGCAAACACTTCTTTATTTAAATTGCTTTAAGTCATTGGATCCTGAAGAGAAGCTCTTTCATCTTGCCTGTACTACTGTGTATGTACAGCAAAATGACAATAAACTGGATTTGATTTGATTTGATTTGAATCCAGTTGATCAACATTTCTTTGGTTCACTACGACACCAACAACACTCTCACCTGATGCATCGGTCCTGACAGCCAACAGCAGCGTACTTGCAGGTGGCGTCGACACACATGTCATAAAGCGTCGTCTTCCTCACCAGGTGGTGAGAACGCCTGAACTCTGTTCCTCTGTCAGTCTGCAGAACACAAAAGGGAAGCGCTTGTCAGCTCTGTGCAGGGTTTTACTTTCATCTGAGCAGACAACAAAAAAAGATGTGAAAGATTACATCTGCTTACAAAGAGCAAACTTTAATACCTAAAAGCTGCACAGATCAGTTTAAATCAGTGTCTCCGTGTTTTCCTAAATGTAGGTTTGCACAGAGATAGCTGCAGATGCTCAGAACATTACGTCTCTGTTAAAGTCTGGAACACGCTCGGCAAAGACCCGATGTCAGTTCTGATAAGTCAGATAGGTTCAGACCACAGCAGAGTTTGTGCATCATCCTCATCTTCATCGTCAGTATCACACAGAGAGTCCTCAACAGAACTCGCTTGTCTACGTTCTGCCGGAGCACAAACCTGTCACAACAAGTTTCTACAATGAGCCTCCATAAATGTCCAGAAGCTTTGGTTTTACTCCGGACTAACAAGCCGTTGTTTATCGCGCTCCACAAAACGTAATGTTCCGAGTCTCCGCGGTGGCCTGAATCGTGTCTTAAAAGTTGAGGAAGAATGTCGTAACTTATGCAACTGTGGCTGAACACAAAACTGCCCCAGTGACCCAGAAGCAAAAACCTGCAGGAAGAATGAAGCCTCTTGTTGTGTGTGTGTGTTTAGTTACACAACTTATAGTTCAAATGCTCCTTTTGTGCTGCAGAACTGCATCCAGAACAGATGCTAAACAGATTTTTATCACACAGCGTGACCTTCATGGGAGGAATTAAAGACACGATACGGAATTCCTAAATCAGAAGGATAGTCTGATGATGCGGTGAGGTCGTGTGGGATCACAGGAGCTGTTGTCTTTATTGTGGGTTACTGTGTTCATGGTTTTTTTTGGATGTTCTACAGCATACGTTTGATAAAATGTGGGAACTGACAGCGACGTTACCTTGTGTGCAGTGTGGAAGTAGATGCTTTTGTCGGCTCCACAGCTGATCATCCTCACCTTGTTGTCGTTGGCTGAAGAGCAAAACACAATAATTTCATCATCAACTATCTAGTTTGACTTTTTTTTTACTCCAAAAACACATAAAGTAATGTCCACAGAAGCCCTGCTAGTGCTTATTAGGAGGAATTTATAATCCATGTAAAAAATAAATAAATAAATAAAAAGACAGGACGTTAGTGCAACAAATCAAAAACTAAATTCACCCAAATACTTTTCACACCACTACATACGCTTGATAACTAAGTTTAATAATTCAAAATAAAGCAGTAAATAAGCTGTGATGTCACATTATAGATTTTAAATATTTTTTAATTGATCCCTGAAGGAAAGTTTACACTCTACCCAGCAGGTATAAAGTAGTTTAATCACATTTAGCAGATCCAACATTGAATTGTTGCATGCATTAGAATTCTGTTATACATAATATAATATAATATAATATAATATAATATAATATAATATAATATAATATAATATAATATAATATAATATAATGTCTGTGCAATAATCTCTATATGTGCAATATTATTTTTTCTATTTTTGTATTTTATCTTTTATTACTCTACAACACACAGAAGAATTCCAGTGTGCCCAGTTTCTGCACAAATGGCAAATAAAAATCTTGAATTTTGAATCTATAATATTATGAAATAGGTCATTGTGCATGATGAATGCTTTAACTTTGGTACTTCAGGTGTATTTTGATGCGTTTACTTTGGTATTTTTACTTAATTAAAAACAGAAATGCATGACGTTTACTTGTAATAGAGTATTTCTCCAGTGAGATCTTTACTTAGGCACCAGATTTGAGTATTTCTTCCACCTCTGGGGAAACTGAAGCAAATATCTTAATTGAAAGCAAGAACACAAAGCGCAACAGAAAAAAAGGCTTTGCTCAGACAAACAAAACTCCACCTGACGACGCATGTCGCTGTCATTTATTATTTAAACAAGCAGCGCTGCGAGCTGAATGAAAGAGGGACTTTGTGTGGGACCGAGCGGAGATGAGAGCGGGGATTAAGGGAAGATTAGCCGTCAGATGTTGACAGAGTCTCGAGTGGCTCACCAGCAAAGCGGACGGCTGTTATGGATGAAGAGTGTTCGTCGAGCGTCTGCACCAGACTGTAGTTGTCGTCCGCATCCAAGACGTGGATCAGACGGTCTCTGCTCGCTGTGGCCAGCAGCTTCAGACCTGACAGACATGAGATCATTTAATCTCTCATCTTTAATGCAGCCAGTGAGCCGATATCCTCCAAACCTTCGTTAAAGCCTCACACACTGACCTGTTTCTGGTTTGCTGTACTCTAGACGGAGGATCTCAGCATCATGGGCTTCAACTTTCAGGATCTCGTCCATGCTGCTGAGGTCGTGAACCCTGTAGATTATAAAGTCACACTTTTAACCCAGTAAACCCGACACCAGCTGGCAGCTTTGAGAGGCAGGTTGAAGAGGTTAGCTTTGAAAAATCTGCAAAATTAAAGCATTTATCGGAATCAGAAACTGAAGACTGAAAGAATCGTTGGATTTTCAGCTTTGAGACAGTCCTTGAACTAATCGTCTGTATAAAATGATCAAATCTGACTGTAAACTGGTGATATTTCATCAAAATCACTTCATTCTGCTGATCTTTTCTTTAAAAAAAAAGAAGCCATTTCTGCGTTCTTTGGCAAAACGAAAAAACCGGATTTGTCTCAGCTGTGACAAACCATCAATTGATAAATATCCGGAGAGTGTTCGGCTGAACTGCAGGCAGTGTTTACATGCAACAGAGAGGAGACGGCAAAGCAGACTGAGAGGAAAATAAAACTATCACTAAAATAAATGCATCTTGGATCAAAAATGGTGTACAGAGGAGGAAAAAAAACATAATTTTTTTTTATTGATAACACCTGTGCACACTTTCAAAAATGCACATGTTGATTCTGTGTTTTTTCAATTTTTGTAAAATAAATCATCCAAAAAAATCTACTTTTTAATGACTTATCGCATTATAACTGTGTCGTACTGCACAAAAGACAAGATTGAGTTCTCTCTGCTTGTAGTCGTGGTTGTTCTGTTTATGTTGCAGTAAAAAATGAACCCACAGTGAAGAAAAAAACGTCCAGAAACTGCTCGTAGTTTATATCAGTGTCGGTTTCAGTCGACTCGTTCTACCTCAGCATCCCGTTGCGATCTCCAGATGCCAGGTGTTTGCCGTCCGGGCTGACACAGATGGTTCTGATGCCAGCTCTGATTTCTGCTGTCTGTCCGTCAGCTTGTTTGTCTGCGTTTGTCGTACTGTCTGGATCCAGCAAGGCGCCGGTGTTTCCATCGACGTAGATTACGTTCAAGAGATCCTGCGGAGCGACGGCGAGACGACAGAGGAAATAATCCATCACAGGGACAATTTGCACTTGAAATGTCAACATGTCCTTTCATCCGACACAAAGGAAATACGGCGTTTTGAAGCCCAACTCACGTTGCTGAGGATGTTCTGAGACGGCGTTTGTGTCCAGTCCGACGTCCGCCACAGTCTTATGGTGTTGTCGGCTGAACAGGTGAGGAACACACCTGATGTGAGGCCAGCAGTCAGCTCTCCAGGAACATCTGGAAACATCTGAGGAGGGACAACAAAGGGAAGAAGGATTCCAGAAATATTAACTACATTATTAAAAACAGTTTGCATCTATTGAGTATCACTGGAGTCTCCTGGTTGGTTGATATGCTGTTAAACAACCAAATCCTCATTGGTTTAGACACTCACTTGTGTTAAAAGCGCTACATCAACAGCTTTCTAGGAATAATTCATGATTTTTGAAGACTACCTGTGATTTCACATCTTTAAACCTGGCAAAGACTGTGAGGTCCACATTATTCAACACATAGACTGTATATAAAAGATGAACGTAGCCATCGAGGCGTCACACGTTGGATTGTGGACCACCGTTTTGATGCTTTAACCCTTACATAGTGTTCTTATTTTATACCTTAACCGTATGGTTGACCCGGACCACACTGTGACGAATTCCTGTCAAGGATTCCCTCATAGTAAGGGTCTATACCAAATTTTAAACTGAAGATCTATCTAGAATGTCTAAATATCCTGAGTCACATATAAAGCATGGCCTGTACCGTTTCAGAGATCCCCTAAAACCACCATTTTCCTTGATTTGACCCACACTGGTGTATCTAAAATCCATCTCAATGGATACAAAAAATTGTAGCACTTGCACCAAAGTATAAAATTTTAAAATATTTTTGTATATTTTGGGTCACTTTAGGAAAAGTCGTCAAACTTCAGGCTAAAACAAAGACCTTCAGGGTGTTTTTACTGGCGTCAAATGTCAAAACGGGTCAAATTCGACCCAGAACAGTATGTAAATGTTAAGTCTGGCATTTGGCTGTAGTGGCTTTTTTTTTTAAATCGGAGGTAGTCAAAGAGTTGATTGAGAACTTGAGGACACAATGTACAGCGACATGGTAACTGCCCTAAAACACGCCCTGGGTTTCATGCACTTTTGCATTGGCTCCACTTTTTGTCCATCATTTATATATAGAGTGTGATTTACAGATTATGTTTCTGCACCGTTTAGAAACAGCAGCTTATGTATCACATCTCGACAACCAACCAGCAGATCATCTAGAAACAGTTAAATTTCTAAGTTGTTCTTTTGCTGCATCACCAGTTGATTTAGTTCTGTTATCAGAAATCAGATGAATATGTGCAGCCGGTCTGCTCCGAGGCTTTTCCTATCATTTCCGTATTAAAACACCAGGTTCAAATGATTTAATTTGCTGCAAATACTCACTTTTCATATTGATTTATAATAAGCAAGCTTGTAAAGAGCATTCAGTGCACTGTAGCCCATTCAGATCATTTACAGACGGAGAAATGCAAGCAGTTGACTGGCTGAAGAGCAGGAATGAGGTCAGTCAACCAAGATTTTCTTTGGTTCACTACATCCCTAGTAATCCATCGCTTCAGGCTTAGCGCTGGTTATGAATATGGTCATTCTGAGCTGTAAAGCTCTACCTATAAGGCAGTTTTACAAAACAGTTTGTTATGAGCAAGTTAAAGCTTTCTAAAACTAAAAAATTCTGCAATCATAGGTTGAGTATATTATTAATAATAATATATAGTTTAGTCCATGTGATGAGCAACAACAGAATATAACAGAAATCCATGAATTTGTCCCAAACTGGCCCAAGTCTCAGCGGTTTGTTATTGATCAGCTCCACTAATCAGTAACCTACATCACCCCGACCAGCTGATCTAAAGCGTCACACATCTTCTTCTTCTGCTGTTTACCTCCAGATCCCAGACACAGGAAGCATGAAAGAGGGCAGAGTGCAGCTTCCCGACCCGCTGGACATCCCTCACGTCCCACACATACAGACTGTGGTCGTTATAGACGCAGCTGAGCCGGCGGCCGACGGGGTCGAAGGTGACGGCGATGGCGTCTGGGTAACGGGCATCTGACCTGGTGTTGAATAGGTGGCTGAGGGGGAGGAAAGATGGACAGATGTGTTCTTTTTAAACGTATATTGCATATAAATTGAAGCTTCCACGACAATAAGAGACATCTAGGAGATATTTAGGATGCCACTTGAGACAGGAGGCTCCTATAAATAGAGCACATTTGATCCGGCGGTGGATCGCTGCCAAGGCAAAGGCTGTGTTACTCCTGATCTGCAGCTCACCTGGTCTCAGTGACGGCGGAGACGTCAGAGCCGAGGGCGTGCGGTCGAGGCAGCGTGCAGACGAAGTTCAGGTCGGCAGGGCTGAACGCTCGAACCGTGCCGTCGGCGCAACCACAGAAGATCATGTCCTCAGACAGAGACAGCGACTGGGCCACGCCCGTCTGCAAACAGGAGCGTTCACAACTCTGTAATTTATAGGTGAAGCAGGAGGAAACCGGCTGCAATGACAACAAGGGTAAACTGCAGCTTTCAGTGGCAATTATCTTCATTCAAGTCTAAAAGACTGCCTTGAAAATCACATCTATTACAGCACAGTTGAGGCGAGTCCACAGGCTGCCGGCCAAAAGGTTACAGAGGAACACAAAGCGTCCCCGTTGGAAACCTTCCAAACACATCCTGTACTTGTCCTTGCTGCTAATTCCTCTTTGATCCTGTGACAGAAGGCAGAGCAGCACCAACAATCTTCACCTGCTCATTAAACACCGCGGCTGGACACTGACCAAAAGCTTTATTGGCTGTGCAGCTCTCTGAACCAACATAATGGCTTAATGCAGTGGTGGTGGTGCTGGAAGTGCATTTACTCAAGCACAGTCTGAATACGCTTGTGTATTTCCACGTTCTGCTGCTTTCTACTTAAGCTGAATGTGGGCAGTAAATATCTCACGTTGCACTAAACTTTGCTTTGGTTACTCGTTATTTTGCACATTTTGATTATTAAAGAGCCCATATTCTGCATATATACAGGTTTATAATTTCATTTGTAGGCCATCACAGCTCTTTGCTGCAGGACCTCTTTTCACTGCATGCTTCCTTTTAGCTCTTCTTTCTTTGAGGCCTTCAGAAAAGCCCTGCCCTGATGGGTGAACCTGCCCAATTACAGAGGAAACGTTGGTTTGCAACCACAAATCTCTGAGTATGAGGCACAGAGTTCTAGCAATTAAGTAAAGGTGGACTGTGAGGACGCTGCTCTTTCTTTGAGGCCAAACTAGCTGCTCGGCGGCCGATATGCAAATGTTTTGGTGATGTAGAAAAGTAACGGAAGGAAAGCTTGGACGAGTTGTTTAAAGCAGGTAAGGAACAATGTTTTCTGTAGGAGAGAATAACTATCGGGGGGTATTCAGGCAAAAACTCAAGTCCTTGCAGTAAGATTGTGGAAAAAGACGTTTTTAATCAAATTAAACTACCTGACAAATGATGAGGAGAAAAAAACACGAAACAACAGGAGAATCCAGGAAGCAAACAGAGTCCAAAAACCAAAAACTAATCCAGTCAGACAAGAATCAAAATCCAAAAACCAAAGAGGCATGATGAGCAAGAGGAGGGCAACCGGTTGGAAGACTGGAGGTCAAACAAGAAGGAAGTTAACGGGGCACAAAAACTAAACGACGCAAACCAGAAGCAGACGAGGAAGCACGAGGAGGGTCAGGCAGGTGAACATGAGATGGATGAACTGGAGACAGAACAGGAGAAACTGACAAAGCCAAAGGGGAAGAGAGGACTGTTTGCACACTGGAAACTAACCGAGGGCACTGGTGAAACGAGGAAGTTACACAACAAGACTCAGGGAATGTCAAAATAAAACAGGAAATACACAAACCCGAGACAATAACTCCCTTTGGTGTGGAGTTTGCCAACCTTTAACTTGCACAAGAAAGGAGCTAAAAACACACTGAAGAAAAAGGAAAACTCTCTAAAAAGCATAATATGGGCTCTTAAATATAAAATATAAACCTATTGATTGTTTACTGTTGTATGTCAAGTTGTAATATTGGAGTAAACCAGCCCCACTTCCACCACTGACTACATGAATATCCTGTAAAGCGCTCGACAAATAGACAGTTTAATGGACTCATGCAGCCTTAGTGACGTCCTCTCCGTTGTGGTGGAGGTTAAATGCCCAAACTCACCCGCAGATCCACCCACTTGTCCAGCATCCTCTTGCTGTTGAACTCACACAGCAGGCCGGAGGAGGTTATGCAGAAGGTGGAGTCCGACCTGGAGCCCCGTCCGCAGGCCACGTCGCAGAAGAAGTTGTTCCTCAGCTGCCCGAGGAGCCCCGAGCGGCCCAGCAGAGGAACCGGAGCGCTGGCCTGCAAACCGCAGAGAGGCAGAGAGGCAGAGAGGCAGAGGGGCAGGGGTTAGCTGGTAGCAGCTAACGCACAAAACCTCAAATACGTGCAGCTGTAAAATTACAGATTTTGCACGCTATTTGTAAAACTGTTGGTTTGATCATTTGTTTTATATCTAACAAATGAAAGGCCCAGTGAGAAATCTGTGCAAGTTTATGTTTAATTATTCTCTTTTTGTATTTGACTGTCAGAAATGATGACAAGAAGACAAGAGGCTCACTGAGATAAAGACATTCAGCTCTAAAACAACAAAAACACACTAAGAAACTGCCCTCAAACCGCCTCTGTATGCACTGACACTGATGAACTGTTTTGCAAATTTATGACGCCGTAACTCTCTCCTAATCATCATGTGAAGCTCATTTAAATTGTTATGTGTTAAGCTGTTTAACTGTGCTCCTGTCTTGTGCTATAGTTCTTTTAATTGGGCTTCTTTCCTGCTTAAATAAAGGATAAATTAAAAAATAAAACCGGTATTCGCTTGGACAACTTTCGAGTCAACAGCAGTGTCAACGTGTTTGATGGAAAACCGATTCTTATGAAGGTAGAAGAATTCTGAGAAGCAAAGAAGTAAAATAAAAACTTACACAAATTCTCTTTTATTACCTTGTTGGCCTTGCAGTGCTCCAGATACCAGAACTTCACGTGTCGGTTCCCCACCGTTACAAAATAAGAGCTGTCCTCAGAGAAGGACACTCCCGTCACCTTACTGGACACCTTGTTGGCCGCCACGACGACGTCTTTCTGCAGGAAAACACAAACATCTTTAAGACTGTGATGCACAGCGAGGCTCATGTGGAGCTGCACGTATCACAGTTTACTTTAAAATCCAGTAAAATTTGAACAGAATTGTAAAAAATTGGTTTACGTTTTACATTAGTGTCCTTGCTGAGAGTTAAATTTTTGTAAACATTGCAGTAAAAGTCCAGGTTTGGTCCCTCTGACTGATATATTTAGCTTTTTGCAGGATCTGATGGTTGATTTTTGCTCTAATGAGACATGTAGAATAAAGTGACTTTGCTGAAAAATCCTAATTTAAGCTTCGATTTGGTTAATTGTCACACATGATTAGTTTAAGAGTTAAAAATCCAACGATTCCTTCCATTTCCACAGTGTCTGGCTCTGATAAATGGTGTATTTTTGTAATTTAAAAAAAATTAAAGCATGCCTTTGATTCCTGCTGATGGGTTTTATTCAAGAACAAACAAACCAAATTGCACTTCAGTTCAGCACTTTAGCAGATTTATGTATGACTGCTGAACATCGGCCTTTGCGAGTGGAACCTTAACGGGACACAAACCTTCCAGGCCCAGACGTTGACCAGCATGTCGTGCTGGTTCCCCACGCTGACGATGTATTTGCCGCTGGGGGAGAAGGCCACGCAGGAGACGCCATATTTGTGCTTCTGGAGCTCGGCCACCTGCCGCCGCTCTGCAACGTCCCAGAGTCTCACCGCTGGAAGGTGACCGCTCTGGTGGAGGAGGAAACGGGGGATGTTGAGGCAGAGTTAGCTGAGAGAAAATAGCTGTTTGCTGAAAGTCCAGTAAATGACCTCTAGCAGATTATCCTGCGCGTCCTCTGACTGTATTCACGTTGGTCCCTCGACCTGCTCACACTATTCCCTCGTAGGGATCAACAGGTCAGCGGGCTATTTGCATCGCTATAATATGCTGGAAGGACCTTCTAGAGGTCAGCGGGCTGAAGGACGCCGCAGAGCGACGACATTCAGCCTGAAAGCGACTCTAAAAAGCCATCAGCCCGCCCATGTATGGAAATGATCCGGCGTTTGATGAATGGGAGTGTGTGATTCTTATCAGATCATTCACTCAGGAATATCTTCCACTCCTCCTCTTTAAAGGCTTACGGGAAAATCTCCCAGCAGAGCCGCGATGCTCTCCGCTTTGATCACCGAGCACGGCAGCTAGAAACACTGTCAGACTCTAATATTGCTGCTGTAACATCACGCCGGCTCCCAGGGCCCGACGTGTTAGTTAGTAGATGTAATATTTCCCCGTGAATCTGCTGTGATCTCTAACAAGTTGTGGGAGTTTACAGAGTTCGGTTTGGTCTCCTCGGTGCGTTTTGGTCTTTTGAACTTTGGTCTCTGCCGCCATGGCAACTGCTGCGCCTCCATCCACTTACACAGAGAAGTCTTTAATCGGCTTTGATTGGCTGCAGAGGATTAAGACAAGAGTGTTTGCGTCGAGGCTCGTGTTGTAACTACAACAAAACCGAGTCGGGATGCTGGACTGAAAAGACGTGTCGGTCTGTTGTTGTGGGTCTTTAGACACTGAGGCTGTAACAGGTCGGATCACCGATAAGTGCTTCAAACTCTGCAGCAGATTTTCACTAAAACTCCTTCAGACTGAGCAGAGTTAAATGAGTTAAATTACACTATTTTACAGCATATAAATCTGCAAAATTACTATTTTACACACTGTTATTTGAAAGAAAATGTTTTGTTTAGTGAAGGACACAAGGATTGAAAAATGATAAACCTTTGTCAAGTTTGTCTTTGTCAAGTTGTAAGTGCTATCTAGTAAAATTACAGAAAAATAGCCATTAATTTACACGTTGACTGTAAAAGAAACATCTTAAAAATGTAAATAATGTCCACATCAAAAGTGTATTTTTTCTATAAATCCAAATTTGCCCTTTTACAGCACTGACCATTAAATTATATGATTTCTACTGTATTTAAATCTGCAAAAAAATACTTTTCCACACATACACAGATTTCCCTGTTGTGTTAAATTACAGATACTATATAGTAAAATTACTGAAAAATAAATGGCTGCAAAAAAAGAACAATTATCTTGAAAAATTTTAAATATTACCCACATTAAGTGTTTTTTTCCTATAAATGTTAATTTGTCCTTTTACAACATTGGCCATAAAATTACCCCATTTCTACTATATTTAAATATGCAAAAATACTTTAAATACTTTACTTTTAAAAAAACACATGCAGATTTCACTATTATAGATTAAAGATAATACGTAAATTCACAGAACAATTATGTTTTAATTTACTAGTGAACTGTAAGAAAACAGGCCAAAACTGTAAATAATGTCCATATATAAAAAAAAAACAAACAACAAAGTAGTTTTAAAAAGGCTAATTTGTTCTTTTACAATGTTTGGCTGTAAAATTATAGCATTTTTATGGTATATAAATGATCAAAACATATTATTTTACAGATATTTGCTGTTATTTGAAATAAGAATTATGTTTATTAAGAATGTAAAAATGTCAAACAAACAATTTTATAGATTTTCCTTGTTTTTGTTTTATTTACAATTTCATTTTAAATGTTTTTATCACGCTAGCTGTTTGTCTTTATTTTTTTGGGGTGTATTTTTTTGAAGGTTGTTACTCTTGTTTAATCTGACCAGCAAGATATAGAACAATAACAAAAGCAGCATATCAATAATGTTCAAATATTTATGTCTCCAAAGATTCCCAAATCAGTCAAGCCAATGAATTATTGCATCGTGCTGTATCACACATATTGTGGTTGTATCTAGATGTTACGGTCCAGTCACAAGAGGACTGGGAAATTAATAAAATTTGTACAAAATTCAAATTGGGAAGCAACAACCTAAATGTGAACAATTTAAAAATTTTACTTAGATAACTTTTTCTTTGTAAAGTATTCAAAAGAAGCCATTTGATTCATTTTTATGATAGACAAAGAGCTGCAAAGTGTCACGCAGACCTGCTCCATTCAGCTGAAAATGAGTTAAACTGCAGAGACAAAGACGTTCAGGAGACTCACCTCGCCGGTCACCAGGTACTTCCCATCGGGGGAGAAGGACAGAGCTGTGATGGTTTTTCTGTGAAGGACAAGGACACAGAACAATGTCTCGGTTTGACTCGTGTCCTGGTTAATCGCTAGTTTTTACAGTTTATTGCTCCTCTGTATAAATGGAGATTTAATGTTTGTGCACAACTCACCTTGAAGTGTTGATAATGTGATGCTGCTTGTTCTTTCTGGGGTTCAGCAGAACTACAACACACCTACACAAAGAGAGGACAACACACATAAATATTTGACTTTAAGCTGCACGTACGTCCTGAGGTAACAGTTTGGTGTAAGCAGAAAGCTTCCATTGTGTGTTTTTGTATTATTTGATCAAGGTGCCTGCAAGAAACGCACACTTTTCAAGTTTACAAATGAGCGCGTACTTGCATAGCTTACAGTACAAATAGATTACACACCGTGGCAAACATTTAAAGTGTGACGTAACGCAGGAACACAGTCTCACTTCAACAGCAAAAGACGCCTGATGTAACTAATCTCGGCTGATCCATAATTAAACTTCACGTCGTACATTCCAGATAATTACAGCTCGAGGTACAGAAACACACTGTAGGCAGCACTGTAAACATTCACGAATTCACTCTTCAGGGGGTGCATTTAATAATTTATTCATTAATTCTAAAGAAGACCTCATGGTGTGCGGAAATTCATTAGAATTAACAACACAAAGGTGAACTGAAGGCCAATTAGAGCATCTGTGAACTTGGAAATAGAACACATTTCTGGGGCCTTTGTCGGAAAGGAAAATGATTCAACATTTTCATAACAATAAAAATAATAATAAACTTCAATTACTTTCCACTTTTAAAATGAATAAAAGCATGACACCAGACTAGAAAGGTAAATGAGACCAGGTGACACGAGCACCGAGGGAGTAAAAACAGTAAAATTAAAAGGATCAAATAAAAATCTATAATGAAAAACAGTTTGAAGCCTTAAAAGTGAGCAATAACGCTTTGAAATTACTTTGAAATCTAACAGGGAGCCACTGTCGGGAGGCAAGTAAAGGGGAGATCATATACAATTTGTACGAGCTGGACACAGCGGAGGAAGCCCTTGATATCTGACTAATTTTAACATTTGATAGCCTGTCAAGATTAGCATGAACCGAGCTGAAATGATTTCACACACATCCTCATTAGATGTAGGGAAACTTTGGAACATCCAGGATTTGATACCAGAGAGACAAGCTGGTAGGATGTGTTGGTTTTATTTAAATGTATAACTGAGTGTCATCGGCGTAAAAAATAATAATGCATTACATGACTGTGAGCAACCTGTCCTAGAAGCAGCATGTATACAGAAAAGGAAAGTGGGCCAAGAATAAAGCCTTGAGGGACACCAAGCGTAATTTAAACAAAAGTTTTTAAAAAAAATTTAAATAAAAACATTTCGCAAACAGTTCCAAAAGAGAACTGATTTAAGAAGATATTTAAAAGGAATGTGATCACTTTGCTCGAGAATACACACCAAGCAATGCAAGCCAAGGTTCCAGTTTTTGCTATTTTGATTTTGTGATGTAGCTGCACAGAAGTCTGTTTCCATCCTCATCGAATTTCATGACTCTGAGAGTTTTGTGTAAAATGGCTTTCAAGGTAAGATGCTTTTTTGAGGGTGAAAATACAAAAAATGTGCAGGTAGGAAAAGATGAAATGCTCAAAATTCAACTAAAATATTTTGCAGAACATACCGTTGTTCTTAGTAAATCTTAGACGGTGGAGCAACACTGCTATCTGAAATGGCTCAAACCTCCTCTGTATATTTTGGATATTTTGCCTTGCCTTTGTTATTCGTACACTTTATGTAACTATTCTTTTCCATATTCAAATAGCCTAGACATGTTATTGTTTTCTATTGCTAAAACTTCCTCTTCACACCCCGTTCAAGCGCTCCACCTGTTACTGGGCTGAGCTTCCTGCCAGGAGCTGCAGTCCTGCCACCACAGCTTGTGGAGATTTAAACTGAGACAGCAGATGGATTGCCAGACTGTGCACAAGTTAGGAAGTACAAAGCTTCCTAAAAAATGACAAGAGGAAGCAGGCGAACACACATTCACCAGTCACATATGTGCAGAGATGTGCCTGCGTGCATGCATACACTCCTTGACATACTGTAACAACACTGATAGGCGCTAATTCTCTGGTTTTATTCCAGCCATTGACCTTCTTAGTATTAATACAGCTTTGCCAGAAGAACTGAGAGCAACACAAAAGCAGCTGATTGTGTTGCAGCCTCGTAGGACCCACTGTGCTGCAGCTCTGAGGCCTCAGCACGACCACGGTGGATCTAAATCCTGCAACCTGCGGCTCAAAGGTCTTATATTTATACGGCATCAAAAGTATTCACCCCACCTTGGAAATGTTCCCTTTTAGTTGCTTCTCAACATTGAATAATGGTTAATTAATGTGGCTGTTTTCACGAGAATCTACAAAAAATGACCTTTTAATGTCAAAGTAAGATCAGACTCCCACAACATAATGTCAATTAATATTATTTAAATTGTAAAATAAGTGATTGCATAAGCGTTCAACCCCTTCAAGTCCGTATTTGGTAGATGCACCTGTATAGAGGGGTCTCGTTCAATCTTGCGCATCTGGATGCTGCATTTTTACCTCATTATGTTTTGCAAAACTGCTCAAACTCCATCAGGCTACACAGGCATCATGAGTGAACAACCCTTTTCAAGTCCAGACACAAATTCTCAGTTGGCCACTCTAGAACACTCACCTTGTTGTCTTGTTGTCACCCATAGCTACCATTTCTGTGTAGCTTTGGGTGAATGCTTCAGATCACTGTCTTGCTGGAAAACAAATCTCTTGCCAAGACGCAGTTGAAGACTGCATCCCCAGGATTTCCCTATAATTTGCTGCATTCATTTTACCCTTTACCTTTGCAAAATGTCTAGGATCTGCTGCAGAGAAGCATCCCCACATCATGATGCTGCCACCATCATGCTTCATGTCATGATGCTGCCACCACCGTGCTTCACGTCATGATGCTGCCACCACCATGCTTCACGTCATGATGCTGCCACCACCATGCTTCACGTCATGATGCTGCCACCACCATGCTTCACATCATGATGTTGCCACCACCATGTTTCACGGTGGGGATGGTGGGTTTGTGATTAGATGCAGTGTTTGATGTCTTCCAAAAGTAGCATCCAATCTGATGGCCCAGAAGCTCATTATGGTCTCATCAGACCAAAGGAGCTTCGCCCAAACTCTAGTCAAGATTTAATCTGAGCATTTTTCAACTGTGGCCTTATGCACAAACTCTCCCAATTCAGCTGCTCAAGCTTGTAGCTCCTCTTCGATAGGTTCATAGGTGTCTTGGCAGCCTCCCTCACTTGTCTCTTGATAGTCATCTTTCTTTATACTGCAATCACTTGAGACACATTTACTGCAAACAGATGATCTCCATTTCACAAACTGTGTGACTTTTAGCATCAACCGGCTTCACCTGTGCTGAATTAGGTGAGTCACTTTAAAGAGGGCGAATACCTTTAAATCACCTCACATCACTTTGTAGAAATCTGTTTTCACTTTGGCGTCAAAGAGCCAGTCAAACTGACCATGAGTCAACGTTGGAAAACAACAGAGCAGAAAACTTCCAGGTGGGGTGAATACTTTTTATAGTCACTGTACTGCACAGGGTTAATAAAACCACACCGCTACGTCACTTTATCGCCGAGAGAGTCAAAGAAAACCTCCCTCAGGACGGGTTAAAAAGAAGTTCTGTGATGCCCACAGAGCTTCCTGAGATGGTTCAGAGATAACTCACACAGAGATGTGCACACTGAGCGTCTGCACCAGGTAGATAATGACGAGGAAGCAGTGATAAGTCAAAGGTCAGATGCTGAGATAACGTTGCCTAAGTGCTGTTTGCTCTTCTTTCTTACCCTGCAGCGTAGGCCACGAGTCCAGATCGGGGGTCGCAGGCCAGAGCGCTGTTTCCCGAGGTGGTGATACCCAAAACCTTCTCCAGCGTCACCTGGAGGGAACCAACACAGAGGGCTTTATCACAGTGAACAGGAAGAGCAGAGCGTGTTGACAGAGGAATAACTGTACAACTCAAAGCAGCAGTGATACAGAACCGTGATGATTAACTGAACTGTTGTCAACTATTGAATGAACTGTTTCCTATTTGATTGGCTCGAGTCTTGTTTATCTAAATTCTGTGATTCTAGTTTTAAATAGTGGAATATTTTCTGATTTCTTTCTTCTTCTACGACAGTAAACTGAACATCTTTGGGTTGTGGATAGAAAAACGTCGTCGTGAGCTTAACACTGATGAACATTTTTCTCTATTTTCGGACATTTTATACACCAAACAACAAATCGATTAATTGAGAAAATAACCAACAAATCAGTCGACAATGAAAATAATCTTTAGTCGCAGCCCTGTTTAGGTGTTTGGACTAAATGTTGGGCAGCATGTACATGAGTGAAATAAAACTAATAAGATCAAACTAAATTCTCTGATTGCAGCTTCTTAAATGACAATACTTGCTGGTGTCTTTGCGTCTCTATGACGGTTAAATGATTATCTTTGGGTTGAGGAGAGCACCTCAGGCTTTTGAAAACACTCATGTACTAATTGAAAAATTACCTGACAATGACAATAATTGCTCGTTTGCAAACCCACATTGATGGAACTAAGCACCCACGTCGAAGAATCAACGGCAGAAGTTAATGTGACGTTTGTGAAGTCATTTAAAAAATCCACAAACCTCTGATCTGCCTGTCGCTCTAAAGACATAAAACAATAATTTAACGGGTGTGTAATGATTCTGAGTCATGACAGCAGCGAGAAATAAAATAATACGGACTTGCAGTGTTTTCTGACACGTGTTTCATTCTATACGTTAGAAAACAAGCTCAGAACCAGAAATAATGACACTGTTTTATCTGTAGGCAAACTAATTGTTTTGCTAATTACAGGCAGATGTGCAAAAACACCATAAACATTCATGCATTTACTCTTTGGGGGTGTACATGTAATAATTTATCTATTCAGTTTGAGTCTAAGGAGCACCTCGTGGTGTGCAGGAATTACTGGGAAGCATTTAAAAAAAACGATGAGATTTGAGGGGACCTCTGTCAAAACCTGCAACATGATTGGATATTTTAAAGGCCAACATATGAAGAAACATGCTTGATGACAGCTTGACGTTTAATCTTACACAGTAAAAAAGAGAGAACACGCCCTACGCATGTATATGTCACGAATAATGAGATTATTCTGTGTTTTGGGTGCAAGATCTCAAAGATCAGCTTTAATCCTGGAACACGGAGCGACAGCTGCTCGGCTCGTGCTTCTGTCTGTCGCCGGAATTAAAAAGCAGCTGTTGGTGTCATTGATTAGTCTGGAGTCACGTATAATTGTACCTGAATCTGTGGCGTCCTACTGACACACATGCAGCAACAGCAGCAAAGAAATAAAGCAGACAAGCAGTGAAGCACTTGGTAATAAACAGTATTTAGAATTTGCTTCTGAATATGTGATATTATCTCATGGAGATGATTTATTTAAGGTCTGGAGGGACTTTAAACGGCATTGTCGCTGTTAAAAATAAATAAATTCTAATTGAACCTTATGAATAATGTGGTTTGTCGTCGTGTGATGATGTTGTTTTAGAATAATTAAAATAAAACGAGACGGTCAAACAATATCTACATCCAAGATCTAAGTAAATAAATCATTTACTGGCCTCCCCGTGACCCCAGTGAGGATTAAGGGGTGTATAGATAATGGATGGATTTACTGGCCCTAATCGATCAGTTACAAGAACAAGTTTGAAAAAAAAAGCTTTCAACCATAAATTTTAAAGAAAATTTAATGCTACTGTACAAATGTTCGATCATGTCCACATCAAATATCTGTATTTTTACTTTCTTTTACACCATTTGACAGTAAAATTCAGTTTTACTGCATTTAAATCAGTAAAAATATTATTATTTCACAGATATTTATAGTTATTTGAAAGAAAATTTATGTTTATCAAGGACTAAAAAGAAACACATTTTTAGATTGTTATTTTACAGATTTTCTTATTTTGTAAAATTACAGAAAATATCTAATAAAATCTCAAAAAGTATTAATTTACATGTTGAAAAAAATAGAAACTAAAACAGGCCAAAACTGTAAATAATCATCAAAAATCTGTTATTTTACAAACGCTAATTTGTTCTTTTACAACACATGACTATAAAATTTCAGTTTTACTGCATAAAAATGAACTAAAAATCTCTTTATCTTACAGATGTTTGCTGTTATTTTCACGGCATTTACAGTTTCTGAGCTTTACAGTGCTGCACAGTTGTTTATGTGTTTGTTTCTGGAATTTTTTGTGAGTTCGTTATGAAGCATTTTGCTCTGTTTAACACTTTTTATTCGGTACAGTTATTGTCTAAATTCTGAATTCACTGCTGAGCTGCTCCAAACTCTTTATTATTTTTCTGATTTCTGCACATTTGCTGGCGTCTAACTCCGTCTGTGTTGTCGTGCATGTTGATCTCATTTGTGCTTCTCTAGAACTTTTATATTGTTCAAGCTTTTCTCTGCAAATGTTTGTGATGGGAGTGAACAGACTTTGAACATCTTCCTCTCTCTCAGCTTCAGACACCATCTACGCTTTAAATGAGTCACAAGGCTTTGAACTATTAAACTCTCTCTCAGCTTTCTGAAACCTTTAAAAAGTTCTGAAGAGTCACAGGTTAAGTTTTATGCTTGTATTTAAAGCTCATGCATTTATTCTAGTTATGACTGAACCTGCTTGTTCAGGTCATGAAGCCTCCAGCCTCAAAGTTCTCTTTAGATTCAAAAGTGTTTTTCTCCCAAATCTACAACCATCCAGGTTTTTCTTTTTTTTAACAGCAGCACAATGCATTTCTAAGAACCGACTGTTTGTAGGATTCTGAGCAAAGCAGTTCAGGAGGAGATCTGCAGCGTCTCCGGGTCGGTTACAGTTAACCTCGGCTTCACAGTTTTCAGATAAAAAAAAGCTTCATCCTTTTCATCAAACCGAGGTGAGATCGTTCAGCTTCCACCATTCAAACTGCATTTTCAGTCAATAACAACCATCCACTCGTAGTAGGTTTTATCACAGTTTTCCAGTCTGAGGTCAGAGTTTTTTTTTAATGAACTGTCCACTTAAAGGTCGTTCAAATTAATGGATTATAATTTATTCATACAGCACAGTGATATAGAAACAGTTCACTGCATTAAAACTCATAGAGTAGCGGCAGAATATAGCTAAAATAATCAAGTTAAAGTAGTTTGGTTGCTCTGATGTATTATTAAATGTGCCATCGTGTGATAAAAAATAAGTCCTGATGCATAAATCTGTAGTTTTTCCAAGAGATATCAGATCATTTGGAGTTTAAAGTTTAAGTTTAAAGGGATAAATCAGTATGTGGTGGTGCTGTTAACATCCCATAGACATCTGAAACATTAAACTGAATCTACAATATGTGTTTAAGAATGTGTTTTATTATCTATGTTGTAAAATCTCCATCCTAATAAAGCTGTCAGATAAATGTAGTGGAGCATGAAGTACAGTATTTAGTGGAAGACTGAAGCAGCAAAAAGTGGAAATATTGAAGTAATTTAAAAACTGTACTCAAATAAAGTACTTGAGTAAATGTATTCAGCTACTTCTCACCACTTTTCTATAAGTTTCTTGTCATTTGTGCACAATATCTAAACATGAGCTGTATCTGCTGCAGGCCACTCGTCTCAAACACTTCTCAGAGGGAACACTTGGGTTCCTACCTTACTGCTGAGCTTCTCTCTGCTGTTCTTCTTGCTCTTGGTCGAAGGAGAACGCAGCATGTTCCTGATGCGGCTCTTAATGGTGAATCCATCTCCTGGCATTTTGTCTGCGGGCTTCGCTCTCTGCTCAGCGGACTGCTGAGCTTTACGCAGAGCTTCGGTGTTTCTGCAGCAGCCTGGACATGTGGACACTAATCTCCTGGGTACGTTCCTCTGCTCTCTCTTCAGTCTGACATCCAGCTCCTCCTGCAGACTCTCTGGACTGATGCTGCTGCTGCACCGTCACAGCAGGAAACTCGGCTGTGTGACCTCAGAGGTTTAATCTGAACCGGCCTCATGATTGCATCAATGATCGCTTTTGTTGCTGTTTGTGCTCAACTGGTTTAATAGGATTAGAGGGAAGCGGAGTGGCTGCTCCTACAGCTGCTGTTTGTTTGGCTGCTGATGCACTCATGTGTGAATAGAGGTCCGTTTGTTCCTTAATGGGGATGTTTGTTTAATGTAAATGCAACTTTGGGTTTCCTTTACTTTTAACAGTCCAGACAGCTGTGTCATTGACTTTTAATTAACTACTGATTACGTTAATAGCCAACTGTTTATTACTTTCAGCTTTTAACCAACTACTTGTTATTTTAGCTTACAATTTACTTTTAGCCAACTACTTAACATTTTTAGCTAGTTATTACCTTTAGCTATAACTAATAATTACTTTTAACCAACTACTAATTACATATAGCTAACTGTTAATTAGTTTTAGCCAACCTTTTACTACTTTCAGCAAACTATTTATTATTTTTAGTATTTATTCCTTTTAACCATCTACTTGTTATTCTAGCGAACAATTGACTTTTAGCTAACTTTAGCTTATTATTACCTTTAACTAACTATGAATTATGTTTAGGCAACTATTTTTCACGTTTAGCTTACCATTTATTGTCCTAACTATTTTGATACATTTTACTATTTATAAATTTGAGTTATTTGCTACTTTTAGCTAATTATATACTTTTAATTTACTATTAATTACTTTTAGCCAACTCCTTGTTAGTTTTAGCTTACCATTTATCACCTTTAGCCAGCTATTTACTATCTTCAGCTCTTTATTTATTTTAATTACCTACTACTTTTAGCTAACTGCTTACTTTTAACAAACTATGTAACACTATTAGCTAACTGATAGCACTTTTTGCTATTTACTACTTTTAACTAACAGTATTCCTTGTAGCCAACTATTTACTACCGTTAGCCACTTATTTATTTCATGTACGTGCTACTTTTAGCTAATTATTTATTTTAAACCAACTATTTGATACTTTTAGCTGTTTATTTCTACACAACTACCACTGACTTTTAGCCATTTATTACTTTTAGCCTACTGCTAACGTCCTTTAGCCATTTTTTCATTTTTAGCTACTTGGTACTTTTAGCTAATTATTTACTTTTAATCAGCTATTTAACACTTCTGGCTACCTAATTGTTTACTTTTAGCCAACTTAGTCTGTACTATTTACTCCCTTTAGCTATTTATTTATTAATTACTTACCTTTAACCAACTATGTAGTACTCTTGGCAGTTACTTTTAGCAAACTACTACTTTAGCAAACTACTATTTTTAGTTTACTATTTATCACCTTCAGCCAACTATTTACTAACTTTAGCTATTTTTTTTTTTTACTTTAGGCTATTTGATAGTTAAGCTAATTATCTACCTTTAACCATTATTTAATACTTTCAGCTAACTTTTTTTAAATTATTATTTTGATATTTAGTACTTTTAGCTAAGTTTACTTCTAGCCAATTACGAACTACTTCTAGCTAACTATTTATTACTTTTGCCAACTATTTAGTACTTTTAGCTTAAAGGAAAAACCAACATAAGGTCTTATTGGACCAAAATGCTGCTTAGCAAAGCACCGTTCTTCCACATGCTAATCCCTCATTTAGTGTTTTGATGGTGAAGAGCAGAATAGAGAAGTTTCATTACAGGAATAAAGGTGATCACTCAGAACTTGCAGTGAGTCGTCCCTCTAAGGAGAAAAGTGGATAATGGCAGCAAAATGCCTCCTGCAGCATAACAGCGGATCTCCTCACTGTAGGGGTCAATGGTTCAAGTTTTTCCCTTTAATTCGTCGCTGGGAGACATTTTCTCAGCATCTCTGATAAATCATGAAAATGGGACAAACAGCCTCAAAACAGAATTGTTCTGATGTTTAAATTAAAAAACAACAGATAAATTCTTCTTCAGAAACATGGAACTAAAACAAAACCCCTTTATTGCTGCACGACTGCTGGTTCCAATAATAAATGTTGCTTTTATTAATATTCAAGGACAGAAGATCTCATTCATTCGAATGACGTAACAAGAAACCAGTGTTTCAAAACATAATGCAAAAAAAAACAAACAAGTACAATATTCACAGGGGTTATTTTCATACATACAATATATGGCTAATCGTGATTGCTTGTGACACACCAGGTTTATATGTATAATTACTATGAATCAACTAAAACACTCAGACCAATAATGTTCCTCCAACGTGGGTGGTTTCTACCAAAACTTTAAAGTGCAGCTACAAAATGATTTCCACTGAGTTAGTGACAAAACCCCCAAAAAACACTCCCAAAAGACAGCACAGCTCAGTAAAACGACACAGAGTTAAAGCAGTTTGTTGTCTGATGACATTTAAATCCGATCTGTACCGGTTTAGTTTGCATAAGACAGATCAGCGACTGAAACTAATGTTTGTGGGGAAACAAAAAGCAAACACACGTGTATAGAAAACACCACAACTGATTTCAGTTTCATACATTCAGAAGGTCACTTAATGCTATTTCATATTCTGTCTGTCGCATGAAAGAATTTCCGCTGAGTTTTGCGCCGAATCGAGCGCCGCTGCTCCTTTTTTGGCTTTTCCGGACAGGCACGTTTGGTGAAGCTTTCCGAGGCTCAAACCGACGCTTCCAGTGTGAGACTAGCTGAGGTCGCTGGTGTTTGGAGGCTGCGAGGGGCTACTCCGATTCGATGTCGGGGTCCAGTTCCTTCTCTATGTCGATCCAGGAGCGTTTCTTGGCGCTGGGGAAGTCTTTTCCTAAAGCGCCTCGCGTTAGCGGCCGCGTCGCGCTCCTGTCTGCTGAGCTGCTCGCCGCTCGCTTGGCTGCAGCTCTGAGACTCCGCGGCTGAGGCGGCTTCTTTTTCAGAGGCCTTCCTCTGCTTCGTTTGGCCGGCATGGAGTGATCAGCTGCTTCGTCCTCCTCCTCCTCCTCCTCCTCCGCTGCTTTCCTCTTGGTCTTTTTAACCTGCGTGGACCTTTTATCTTTGTCGTCCTTGGCCTCCTCCGGGCTGGTTTCGGAGTCGTCCACGTGGGCACGGCGGGTCTTTCGAGGTCTTCCCCTGCGACAGGCCACAACAGCGTCGGACTCGACCGGAGACGAAACCCCTTGCGTTGGCTGTTCTTGGCTTTTCTCCGCATCTTTCAGATCCACCAAAGGCACACGGATCGATTTGTTGAGGTTGGCAAGCTTGGCCAGAGGGTAGGCCGGTACGACTGGAGCACAATCTGAAGATGCAGTCTTGTCCTCTGGGATGCGGCTGGTTTCTGGATCTGGAGGTTTGTCGTCAGACCCAGAGCAGGTTTTCTCTTGATTCTTGGATGAGTCCACGTCAGAGGGCTGACCGTTAGCCGGAGCGCTAGCTGCACCCGCCTCTCCGTCCTTCTTGGCCGTCATGACCATGAGGGTGTAGAAGCCGTTACCCACTGGAAGAAGACAACAGGAGAGACGTTAATATGTCATTTAGATCATTTGAACAGGATCCGTTAACCCTCTGAATCCTAACAACTGCTGGCTGGTTTGAATAAAATGCTATCGTTGTTTAAAAAAAAGCAGCCAAATTGACGCCATTTATCAAAACCGGAAACCGTAAAAGCAGGAAAAATCATGAAAATCTGTGACGTTTCATAAAACTTTAAAAAATGTGCCAAAAATAGATCATTTGAAATAACAAGATTCTGTAAAAAACAAAAAATTCTGTGTTCCTCGATACAACTGTGAAGTCTCATGTGGCTCTACTGAGACTAACGGCCTCATGACAGAAATTCAGGGACTTTTTTTCAGCTGAACTGGGATGAACTGCACAGTGCATCCACAGAGCAGACAGGAGGCAGGAATGGAAACCAATTAGAAATGTAAGACAAAAAATGTGTATTATTCCCCCAGTGTGTGTAACACCTATGGGGAACCTTGATGTGCTGACTCCAGATTTAGAATTAAATTTGAGTTTTTTTCTTTTTTAAGATTTTTTGCACAGAGGACATCTTTGACTCGTCTCTCCTTCTGGTCATGTTGCCTCCATAGAGGTGCAGGACTTTACATTACAGTGAAAAATGTGACGATAGCAACAAAGAAGCACTGCTGTGAGAGCTTACGTGGCTTTAGCGACGAAGGAAGGATGATTCGGCCGTTCTTGGTGCGAAACAGAGGAAGGGGAACAGGCTGTGGAGGCTGAGGTTGGGACTTGGTGCTTTTGGGCTTTGAGGCTCCCTTGGCTGCAGGGACCGGAGGTGTAGCTGTAACTTGAGGCTCCGCTTGAGGTTCTGTTTCAGGCTCTGCTTGAGGCTTGGCCACCTTGTCTGGACCCTTCTTTGCTTCCTGTTTGCTCTCCACCTTCGTCGGACTGACTTGTGCTGAGGCCACAGGTTCGCCTGGCTGAGGCTCCACCTGCGACGGAGGCGTTCTGACTTCAGTCTGGGCCGGAGAGAGCGCCACTCGAGGCTGTAGAGGCGACGCTGGAGCGTTTACGAGTGTCAGCAGAGGTTTGGGTCGTATGGGCTGAAGCAAGGCGAGCACCTGCTGGACGTTGTGGTCGACTGATGGCGTGGGCGGGTTGGCCTGAGGCGGAGGCCTGAAGATGGGCCGGGGCTGGAGCGGAGCCTCGGAGGGATTGGCCTGCAGAAACGCAGCTCTGGACTGCAGCAGCTGGGAAAAGAAGGGCTTCAGTTTCATGGACCTCTCTCTCCTCTTCTGTCTCTCGCAGATGTGCATCAGCTTGTCTTTGATCAGAGACTCCGGCTTCCCTGAAAAGGTCACATTTCGTACAACAAGGTTTGAGAGGCGGCGCTGAAGACGTACAGCAGGTGCACAGATATACGTCTTCTCTTCTATTCATGAGCAACGTTTCTGCTGTTTAAGTGTTAAATATTCTGAATCTGATGTTATTTTTAGGCCCTTTTCAGACGCAGGATGTGGAGCGTCGCTGCATTCTGTCACATAAACATCACTTTTCCTCACAGCTTCATTCAGACGGAAACACCACGATGACAGAGAACCACAAGACGACATCTGTCACACAAACTGGACAGAACATCAGGTGGTGTATCATACAAAATAACACACTAACATACTAAAGAGTAAACCCAAACTAAGAGCAGCTCACTTATGATTTCCTAAACATGCATTTAAGCAGCACATAAGTCAGCACAGAGCAGTCGGTACCTACCAGTGAGGCGGGAAAGCGTCACCAGATACACAGCCTGCATCTTAGCCAGCATCTCCTTCCTCTCCTCCAGACATCTGGAGGTCTTCACCAGTTGTTGGATTTCTTTCTGCGCCTGAAAACAAGACGAGTGATGAACGAGTGAGAAAAGACAAGAGTGATGACGGAGCTGCGAACGGACGCTCAAATGTACAGGAGTATAAATAACAAGATTTGAGTTTGAGAGTCAAACTTGTTTGTTAAATCGCTTCTGAAGAACTATAATCTTCACTGGACTGACTTAAAACAGATTTTTTTTCCCTCAAATTTTAAAATAAATCAAGAGCTTCTGATGTGTAAAACTGCAGTGAAAAGTCTATTAGTTGGCATCTATTGAATTAATCTGCTATTATTTGGATAATTAACAAATAATTACTGGAAAAACTCTGATTCCAGCCTCCTGAAAGTGAACATTTTCTGGTTTCTTTCCTCTTCCATGAAAGCAAATTAATCATCTTTGGGTTGGTGACAAAACGAGACATTTGAAGACATCATGTTGGGGTTTGCTAAACACTATTTGATTTTTTCAAATCAAGAAATTATCAACAAACGATTCGGCAATAAAGGTAATATTTAACTGCAGTCCGATTTACACGTACAGACTAAAAGCTCAGCAGCACCCGCAACTAAAAGTACAAGATTAGAGGTCTGCTGCAGAATTATTTCACTAACGTTTTCATATTTAGGTTAAATTAATGATCTTATGCATCATAAATTCAGTTCTCAGTTATTTAACAGCACTGAAAAACCTACTTTCTCTTCCACATTCCTAATATTTGAGCTGAGAATAAATGAGGGATTTCTTTGGTGAATGTAATGTGATTCTATAGAAACAAATACAACATTTCTTGCAGTTTCAACTAAAGCCGGTTGTGATACCAACCAGAGAGAGAAGCCGAAGTCTGGGCGCCCGGGGGTCGCTCTGAAGGACGACCTGGAGTTTGTCGAACAGGAATCTCTGCTCAGAGCGTCTTTGCCTTTCCAGCACCGAGTGGTTCTTGCGCTTCTTCCTGTCCCCGGACTCACTGTGTTCATGAAACACTTGATCCTGGAACGGAGACACAGTTCAGATAATAAATACAAAGAACACTGAGGGTACACCTGCTGCCTTAAGATAAATGTAATACATATTTATGCTGGTATAATCTGCTCACCTGGATGCTGAGCTCCCTCCCTAAACCATCGCTGGAGTCTCTGAATGCAGGAAACAAATTGAAATGTTTCAGGTCAAATGTAAATGTAAGAACCTCTCATCCAACAGCAGATCATACAAACATCCTCGTGCATTACCGTGAGTCCTGCAAAGCCTCCCTCATCTTAGCGATGTACGTTCCTGGGTTTTGTTCTACGGTCTCCACGTCCACGAGTCGCTCCTGAAGAGACACAACATTCAGCGTCAGGTCTTTACAGTTTGGTTCCAGGTTTAGATGCCGCGAAGGTGCTGAGCAGCAGGTCGGCTTGGATGGTTCAATTCTGTTTTATGGCTATAAAAGGCTCAGTGTGGTCCATCTCTAGCACGTCTGTAGCTGCAGCCATGTTTTACTTTGGTTTGGTTGCTGCTGCAGACAACACCTCAAACGACCACCTGCAGTTAGACTGATGCCCCTGATGAGCACACCCCATGCTTTAGGGAGATACATACTCTTTTTGCTAGTATACTGCATTTATATTTCCATTTTTGCCACAATGCATCGACTGGTTTATGACAACATGCAGATTTTTCACAATTGAATTCATATTTCTACGTAAAGAAACAGAAGTAAAAGAAGTACTTGGAGCTTGTACTTAAGTAAGAGTACAAATACAACTGTGTAGATGTAGGCTGTGAGAAGAAATTTGGGTTTTGTGGTTATTACAAACGGGGATGTTTAAACTAAAAGGTGTTAAGATGTAAAGAAGATCTCTCTGGTGTGCGTTAAATCATTTATTTCTGAGCTGTCAAAACACAGAGAGAGTTTTCTTCCTGAAGGGGGCGTGGACGGCAGCAGCGCATTCATTTTAAAACGAGTCCGTTTAGAACCGGACTGAAATCAGGAGGGAAATAAACCATCTCTGCAGTGTTCTGAGCTGAAAAACTAAAAGTCAAGTGAAGTTTTATTAGATTAATACAAGATTTAATGCAAGTACAGCCCTATTAGCATCAAAATATACTTAAAGTACAAAAAGTAAAGGTACTTATTATTCATATTGTGACATATTTTAGAATAATGTGGATTACTGGTTTACAATAATGTGTTCATCACTTTAATGTAGGAGCAGGTAAAGACGACTCCTCCTCTGGAGTCAAATCCTAATCTATGATGTTGAATCGTATCTTATCTGTCGGTTATATTTTGTGTATCTAAGCCATATTTTATTTACACAAACAATCTCCGTAAACTTACATCTTCGTCTCCGCTGTAGTCTGACGAGTCGGAGCTGAAGTCCTCTGAAGCCACGTCTATGCTGGACTCCTCCTGCTTCACCGTCAGCCTCCTCCCATCTGACGCCGTCTTCTCCTCACAGATCCGCTGAGAGGAGGATCCAGACTCCTCCGGTTTGCTGCTCAGTAGCCTCCTCATTTTTTCCCGGCTGTTCAAACCGATCAGCTCAGCCGCCAGGCGGCTGAAATCAAGCGCGCCTTCCTTCTGCGGCGGAGTGTTTGTAGTGCTTTGGGGTTCTGACTGCAGCGAGTCAGCTTCCGGTTTAGGAAGCTGAATGAGGGTGAAGCCCCCCGGCAGTGAGACGCCGGGGAGCTTCTGGTCTGCGCTGCCCTGGCTGGACGGAGGGCAGATCCTGAAGGAGTAAGTCCCACTCTGACCCAGGAAGCTGGGGCTTTTCAGCGCCGGGGAGACGGTGAGGGAGACGGGCGAAGACGTGGAGCTGCGATGGCTTGAAGCGAAGGACTGGACCGGTTTGATGCTGGAGAAGGTTTGTGAAGGTTGCTGTAAACTGGAGGATCCCTTCATCCAAGAGTCCCGCTGGAACGACTGAGCTGAAGAAACAGAAGATGCAGAACAGGTTTTAAAACAAATACCGAACTTATCACATTAGGAGTTGATTGTTATGTCTAATTAAAAGATCGTCTACTTTGTTAAAATGTTATATATTCATATTATTTTTCACTTTCATTGCCTTGTTTCTTTTCACCTGCAGCAGTCCTGATTCATTTTCAGGATTTTAACCCATTAAATGTTTGTTTACATGATTCAACACTTTTAATGAAAAGAAAAGGTACAAATTATTTCTTTTAAATATAGTAAGTGCCAAGTGGATTTTTTTTATTTTTGATGATCACAATCTGGTATGTGTTCAATGATTAACAACAACATAGATGCTTCAATATTTTTTTTTAAATAAATAACATAAAAAAAAACAACACCAACAACAAAAAACCCACTCAGGAACCTAAAGACAAAAATGTCCTCGTGGGGGGTTAAAGCCGAATCCTGGGGAACAGGAACTTTTAGATATTTCCTTTGATTCTCTAATTTTGTAAATGAGACCTTCAGGGCTTTTGGCGATGCTTAACTTACTGCTGCTGCTTGTATTTCACTCTGTGTTTATAGTAGTGACTGAAGAACTAAAAAAAGAGATTTGGGGTGCAACACAGAAAACACACATTTTATTAAAAGCGCTGCCAAAAACGAATCCTGTTTTCTCAGTTGTCTCCTTGATGTTGGAACAAGATTTAAAAGCAGAACGCTGAGGTGGTCTCAGGTGGTTTAGATAGTCTGCAGCAGCTTCAGGTGTGTGTTCTCTCATTTTTAGGAGGCATTCAGTTAAAAACTAAGGCAGCATTCACTCTATTCATTTTAAAACTGTTTCAGGAACATTCTGTGCAAACACACCTGAGTTGTCACATGATCCTTATGTACACAGAGCATGCAGGTGTAAACATAAAGCAGGGGGTTGGTGACGTAGTTGTGAAAAATACTACAGAGGAAGAACAGCAGTGGTGGAAAATACAGATTTAGTTTACTGCACAACAGCTGCGAGCAGAAACAACAACGTGGACCACGAGTTGTGTTGTCGATTAGCTGTAGTACCTGGTTGTTCCACCAGGTGGAGCCTCTTATCGTTTAATATTGTAGAGAAAAGAGGTGACGTCACTCGGGCTAGGAGTAGTTTACAAGCAGAGGGCGTTGTGGGGGTTTAGCTAGCATCGGGCACCATGACAAAGACTTCTAGGACATTTAATGATGTCCAGCTAGAGGTCTTGTGTTTAAAAAGTGAGGATCAACTAGACTTAGTGTCATATGTAACAGAGCCACCTTTTTTGTGTTATCAGCTAATTAAATAATGATTGACAACGCTCTTGATTGTCGATCAAGAAACTCGTTGACAATTTCAGAATCAGTCACTTTACTGATGCCAAAGGGGGAAACTGGTTACGTGAGTAGTATAAAAAATAGAAATATAGGTAGAAAAATATCAGCATAAAATTTAAAATGTGCATTACTACTAGGGATGTCCGATATCGGCTTGTTTGCCAATATCTGATATGCTGATATTGTTCAACTGTCAATTTCTGATTCCGATATCAGCCGATACCGATATGTTTGTTGCTGCAGCCACACTTGTTTACTTCACGACGCAGTTTGATGTCGTCATCATTTGCGTGCTGGTAAATGCCAGCAAAAATCAAGGCCTTATTTTATTGGTTTTTATTATAGGCAAAAAAAAGATAACGATATTGAAAGATATTATATTTTTATGCCAATATCAGGCATCAGGTATCAGACATCTCTAATAACTATAAATAAAAATATAAGCATACAGCGTTGTTAAGAGTAATATTTGCATCCCAGACTTCTTGCCAAAATTTGTGCACATTTGTACAACTTGTGTAACTGCCAACACAAACAAAGGATTGGACTCAGGTTTGTGATCAGTTAAAAACGTCTAATTTTGATCTTAGAGATGGGATCAGGACATCCCTGTATCTATGCTGCCTTTACACCCGCTCAGTTTCATTGATTATGGTGAAAGCAGCCTGTATTCGTTAAGTGTGGTGTTAGTGTGGGTGTAGCTTTGGTATTGTTAGACATCAGAACCGGAGACAATCTTACCTGGAGGCTGTGCTGCTGCCTTCAGATGCGTAGTTTTCCTTGCAGTGATAAACGGAGGGACGATTGAGCCTCCAGCTTTCACATGAAGACCTCCGGGAAGGCTGCTTTTTTGCGAAGCGTTTGGTTTCTGAGAGTTTTTGTGAGAAGCGTCACCTGGAGTGTGCAGTCGGCCTGTGACGTACGCTGCAAGGCGATTGGCTGGATGCAGAGATCCGATGTTTCCAAGCAGCAGTCTGGCCTGATTGTAGGATTTACCGTTTACCTGTAAAGGGATAAATGCATTAGTAGGTTTTATTTGTGTTAATTATTCCTTTTCAGGTCCGTTTTCATGCAGTTTTTCCTAAAATCCAGACCTTCAAATCAAAAAGAATACATTTCCACACACCTGATGAAAAACAACCTTCCTAAGCGCTCACCTGTATGAGTCCCTGTGCCTGACACCCAGCAGGTTTCCTCCTGGCTCTCAGTCTGCCGGCAGGAATCACTCCACTCAGGAAAGGCGTGACTCCGAACCGGCTCTCCGGCTCTTCCACTTGTTCTCCATCTTTCTCCTCCGGCTCCACGTCCCCATCAGAGCTTTGATCGCTGTCATCAAGCTCGTCCTCATCGTAATCACTGGCTTTTGATGGCTTACTGATGAGCACCTGGAGGAACGAGGAGTGCAGCGGGAAGATTTTGGTACAGAGGAAGAAGCGTGCACGGAATTTCAACAATACGAGGAGCAACCAAAGAAACTGAAAAAGAGCGAAAGTAAAAGATCGACATCCTCACATTCTGTTCTTCGCTCAACCCACTGAGCCCCGAGACATGCTGCCGTGCTTGGAAAGCATGTTTTTGAGAAACGGTATAATTTTTAATTGCAAAAATTACAATAAT